AATTTTAATAAAAATATGTGTGTTTTTTTTTTTTTTTTTTTGGCATAAAGGAAGCTATAGAGTTCTGATTCTCACCTAGTCCCTTGAGACTGTGATCTTCAGGCTTATTTTTTTTTCAGCCTGTGTCTCAGTGCTAAGTATGACAAATGTTTGTTATACAAATGAGGGTATAATCCCTTCCCATACCCTTAGTCAATGTTTTCTATGAAATCCCAGAGAAGTGCTCATTTCCTTTCATTTGGGCTCACGTGGAGTGGAGGGATCCCCACAAACCCCAGAGATAGCGCACAGTTCCTCTGGGCAGTCCTGCTGGAGGAGCCTTGTCTCTGGATTTAAACACACATCTGTCTCCCTGCCGCTTCTCCCACTGGGCCCAGGAAAATCCCCTGAAGACTGTAAGTATAAGCTGGCCTCCTTGTGACATCTCCACAAATGTTTTCTCCCTTCTTCCCACCTTCCTTACCAATTCCTTTTTATCCTCCTAGGACTATCTCAAGTATCCAGTCCTCCAATTAACATTCCTTGGCTTTATATCTTCAGGGAAAATAAATAACGAATCAAGCAGGAAACACAGTGTTTTCATTGGCCGAGAGCCTTCTGGAGGCAGAGAACCATCTTTCTTATGGCTAAGTAATATTCCATTATATATATGTACCACCTCTTCTTTATCCATTCCTCCATTTTTGGACACCCAAATATTCTCCATATCTTGACTATTGTAAATAATGCTGCAATCAACATATAAATACACATGTCTCTTTGAAGTAGTGTTTTGGGTTTCTTTAGGTAAATACCCAGAAGTGAGATTATTGGGGCCTACTTTGTCTTCTGTTACAGCCTTTGTTTTAAAGTCTATTTTGTCTGATATAAGTATTGTTACCCCAGAATTTTTGTTTGTTTCCATTTTTATGAAATATCTTTTGCCCATCCCTTTACCTTCACTCTGTGTGTCTTTCAATCAAAACGAGTTTCTTGTAGGCAGCATATGTAAGGGTCTTGTGTTCTTATCCATTCAGCCACCCTATGTCCTTTGATTGGAGCATTTAATCCATTTACATTTAAAGTGCTTGTTGATAGATATATAGTTACTGCTATTTCATTTTCTTTTCTTTTTGCTTCTTCTTAGAGAAGTCCCTTCAACATTTCCTGTAATACTGGCTTGGTGGTAATGAATTCCTACAACTTTTTTTTTTTTTTTGTCTGGGAAGCTCTTTATCTGTCCTGTGATTCTAAATGACAGCTTTTCTGGGTAGAGTTATCTTGGTTGTAAGTCCTTGCTTTTCATCACTTTGAATATTTCATGCCAATCCCTTCTGGCCTACAAAGTTTCTGTTTAGAAATCAGCTGACAGTCTTATGGGAGCTCCTTTGTTGGTAACTAATTGCTTTTCTCTTGCTGCTTTTAAGATTCTCTCTTTGTCTTTAACCTTTGGCATTTTAATTATGTGTCTTGGTGTGGACCTCTTTGGGTTTATCTTGTTTGGGAGTCTCTGCACTTCCTCAGTTTGTAAGTCTATTTCTTTGGCCAGGTTAGGGAAGTTTTCCAACATGATTTCTTCAAACAGGTTTTCAATTCCTTGCTCTCTCTCTTCTCTTTCTGGTACCCCTACAATGTGAATGTTGGTACACTTGATGTTGTCTCAGAGGCCTCTTAAACTCATTTTTTGGATTTTTTTTTCTTGTTGCTATTCTGATTGGGTGTCTTCTGCTACCTTATCTTCTAAATTGCTAATTTGAACTTCTGCTTTATCTAATCTACTATCGATTCCTTCT